TAACTCTTTTACAAGACACTCGTAGTAGTACGATTTACATACAAAGACAATATCATTTGAAGCTTTGTCCGCAGGAACAACAACATATTTATCGTGAAGAGATGAAAGACATTTCATAGCTTCTTTGTCTCTGAAAACAGACAATATTCTGATAAAAAATTTATAAATTTTGGTGTTCCACAGGGCTTAATACTTGGTCCCATTTTGTTTTGTACATAAATGACCTTCCATTATATATTAAAAACTACCATACAGACTTGTATGCAGAGATGCAATCAAAAGTACAAGATGATCTCCAATATGTTGAAAAATGGTGTCATGAAAATATCATGTTCATAAATTTAGGATAAAACTAAATGTATGGTTAAAGGTACAAGACAAAGACTGCGTTTCCATCAAGCAGAACCAGTTCTAACAATTGAGAATAATATTCTTCAAAAATCATCCATTGAAAAACTTTTAGGTGTTAGAATTTACTCTAATCTATCATGGACAGGACATGTTAATTACTTGTGTTCATCAATATCATCTAGACTTCATTTACTCTCTAAGATCAAGAAATTTCTAAATATTGATTCAAGAAAATTATTTTATAATGGTTATATTCTCCCACTGATAGATTATTGTTGTATTATTTGGAGTGGTTGTGCTAAAAATGAGTTAGTAAGAATAATCAAATTGCAGAAAAGGGCTGCAAGACTAATTTTAGATGCTGATCCACTTTCAGCATCAGCACCACCAGGGATTGACATTACCGTTTGTCCGGTACAAGTTAAAGTAGGCATCGGACAAGTAGAATCAACATATTAGTTGTCTGATGGGAAAAAGTTAAAAATCATCTATTAGAACTTATTCCCTTATTGACCTACAATTATTTAGTTTACATTATTTCTAAAGAGTTGCATAGCGTAATTATCAATTTAAGTACATTGGTTTGCAATCATTCAACGATTAATTGGCTTCTTTGACAACTATATTGCTGATAAACGTGCGTAAAGGTAAGCAAATTTCGATTTCTTCTGGTTAAATAGCCTGAGCATATGTCTATCACCTGATCAATTGCATCATCACTTTTCGTTCTCTTGGAATTTACCACTATTGCAAACATGCATGATAACTGAAGTCAATTTCTGTTAAAAAAAATATTGACAAGCATATTTTCGGATACTATTTAACAGCTTAAGGATAATCTTGAAAATAATAGAACTCAGCTAGTGTAACCAGGATGCGTCCCACGGATGCACAGGTTAATGATATGGTGCAACTAGACCAGGACTCATGTAAGCGCCTTATTAAGAATACTGAATTATATGTCAAAAAGACATAAAATTAGAATATTGCAAACAATAAATTAATTGTGTATAAAGTGATTGCCTTGTTTAATATTCATCAGGAGCGCTTGAGAAGTCTAAAGTTTATACATTATCTAATAAATATTTCAGTACGTAAGGACACACGCAGCATTATTTAATTTTTTGAAAATTTGATTCCGGCAAGTGAGTTTAGAAGAAAAACAAGTTGATTTTCTTGCAACTTGCCTGAACAGACAAGTTAAAAAAAATGATAATATAGAGGCTGGACCACTGGTTAAACAGCTTGGGTGGATGACAGTGGAGAGCAGAACCTCATACCATAAATCTGTTTTGATGCATAAATACACTAAAGGGGCATTAGCTGTCAAATTCATGCATGTACTCGATAATAATATATCAGAATTTTGTGTGTATTTTAGTCTAGACACCATCTAATTAACTATCGAGATGACCTCCGAAGACTGCCGATGGTCACATAACCCGATATAAACATAAACATAAATATAAATAGATAGCGACCTTGTGCAATTGGATTTTTTTAGGTCTGTTTGATTTCATGTTATAGGTTAAAACATACGTTAATCATCGTTTTTACCTGTATAAGAATGCTTTTTTGTGGATCGAATCAGTCAACAAAATGGTTCACCTTTGTTTCACTTTCAATGTTGACATTCATTTCCTTTTAATTTGCTGAACACGACTAATACATGCGTAACCAATCTCTAGCTAATGGGTTAAATTGAAGGTCACATGAATATGGATTCACTGAGGTCGAATTATTCACTTGCAAGTGAATAATTCATCAGCGATGTTTCTTTGCTTATTCTGACAAAATTGAACCAAATTGGCTGCTAAAAGCGAATCATTATTTCATTATTTCACTTTTATTAATGATTGAACCAAACAAAATCATATTCTAATTTTTTTCACATCTCGTAGCTAATGCCCCTTTAAGAATGAAGTCCCTGTATATTTAACTGAAAAATTTAAAGAAATGCCAGAAATTAATCAATATTGTGTGAGAAATATGTCTTGCAAACAATTGCAAGTTCCAAAAATCAAAACAGAGCTGTATAAGAAATCTTTTATATATTCAGGATCTATTTTATGGAATAACTTACCAATATCCCTGAAAAAATGAACTCAAGTACAAGCTCATTCAAAAAATATTTAAAAAATTACTTATTGGAACATTAAGAAGCTGTGTAATTTTATATGCATAATAATTTTTTCACACACTTACTTAAACTTTAAATATTGTTGAGGTACTTTGAATGATGCCAATACTATATGAATTCATCATTTCTACCTGTTTTGAAAAAGGTATATTTCATAACAATTTCTCATTTGATTTTTCTTATGGTATAGAACCACTAATTCAGGCCCAGTCGGAAAGAACATACAAGAAAGTAGTACATATTTTAAACAAAATAGTTCCTACGCATAGCTGTATCTTTGTCAATAGTGGGAATATTTGGGTAGTTTTAGTATCAAATGAAAGCTTGGGGACTTGGGATCACTGAAGAACCCTTGTTGAAAGTTTTATTTGAATAATAAAGAAGTATATGAAATTTAAATAGGAGGGCTCATTTGCCCTGTTGTTCAGATCAGAAGTTCCTGTTTTTGTACTATCAAACTTTCGGGAACCAGTACGCTCTAATATGCAATTAAAGGTATGTTGATTTTTTCAGCACACGTCAACATAAGGTACAGTTTTGACATGAAATAACTGCCACTTTATTTGAACTTAAGACAAAGTAGCCATTTATGCTTGAAATTGCAGAATTTAACATAGAAAGCAATGGGGCTATGAATTAGTGGTTTTATACCTATTACTGACAGGCATGTGAAATTCTATTTTTAGGAATCATACCCTTTACAGTGAAAATTTGTCACATTTGTTGTCAGAAATCATGTTACATTATTTTTTTTATGTAACAATTATGTTAGTGTCAAATTACAGCCCTCAAATTGCTACAATAAGGTATTTTAGCCTTTTTTGGTCATTTAGCATGCACACAGTAAAGATTTTACCTGAAATTCAATTTTTTGGATTATCTAGCACTGAAACCAATGAAACTTGTATATTATGACTAGTTTATAGTATAAATATTGTTTTTAGTCAAATTATCTAGTGAGTGTTCATGTTTTATTGTGTTTCTTGGTGAATTATTTATTTCAAGGAAAAATGGTGTATACTTATATAGGATTTCCAAAATCTCACTTGAAATGCATTTTATAACCATTTTATCAAGTTGTCTAGCTTGGAGATACATAAATTGCTCGTGTTGATCCATGTTTATACATAAAAGTATGGTTTGTTTACCAAATCACTCTCCTTTTCCAACATGTAGAAAAAAGGGGGGACAAAATTATCAATTATATTTTATGTTTGGACCACTGTATTTATATTCAAGGAAGAATCTCTGATAAAAATAAGACATATAGGTAAGAACACTGTTATTTGAGTAGATATTAACAAATCAGAACTGGTAAAAATTGAAAAAGTGTCATATCTGTCACTATTAGTATCCATATGTAATTTTCTTTGTTTAACACATATGTTACTACCAGTTCACTATCAGCTTGAATTCAGTGATATAGTGTTTTGACAAAAGCTTCATGTGTTTTTCTATGCTAGAAATAGATCATAGAAAGAAATTAAGTCAAGCAGAAGTCAATATAACACGTTTGGTGCTGTTATAGGTATAGAACCACTAATTCAGGCCCAGTCGGAAAGAACATACAAGAAAGTAGTACATATTTTAAACAAAATAGTTCCTACGCATAGCTGTATCTTTGTCAATAGTGGGAATATTTGGGTAGTTTTAGTATCAAATGAAAGCTTGGGGACTTGGGATCACTGAAGAACCCTTGTTGAAAGTTTTATTTGAATAATAAAGAAGTATATGAAATTTAAATAGGAGGGCTCATTTGCCCTGTTGTTCAGATCAGAAGTTCCTGTTTTTGTACTATCAAACTTTCGGGAACCAGTACGCTCTAATATGCAATTAAAGGTATGTTGATTTTTTCAGCACACGTCAACATAAGGTACAGTTTTGACATGAAATAACTGCCACTTTATTTGAACTTAAGACAAAGTAGCCATTTATGCTTGAAATTGCAGAATTTAACATAGAAAGCAATGGGGCTATGAATTAGTGGTTTTATACCTTATGTGTGTGTTTGTTTGATTATTTTCTAATTCTTTGTTTGTTATATTTCAATGTATTTCATGAGGGCCTCAGGGAAGATTAGTTTTATAGCTAACTGTGTAACCCTCTTTAAATAAAGAACTATTATTATATTATTACTATTATTATTATTATAGCCACACCTTACTCATTAACATATTTAATCCACTAAAAACTATGCTTTTCGTGCATTAAATAAGTTATATTGCAAAAGCTACCTGTATGGAATATACTTAGGAATGGAAAGGTCGTAAATAGAGAACTGTCAATGATCTAGAATCATTTTAATATTATTACTAAGAAACAAAAGTGTGGAAATTCATACTTTGAATAATATTGCTATGCAAAATCTACCTGAAAGATGAGAGCCAAGGAGGGAGTTCTCCCCAAACTCAGTTCCAGGTACTGGCAGGTATGAAAGTATTAAAAGTTCAGTAAAATACTAAATATTTATTTATGCTACCCTGACTGTAACTTAATCTGTACAACTTGCCTCATCAATCTCGCATAAAACAACCTTCTGTATAGACGGATGCTTTAGAACTTCTCTCACTACTCCTCCATCCCCTCCACCAACAATCAGTACCTGTTGAGTAAAAAGTACAATAGCAACCATTCGTTCAAAAACAGTACCTTTCAATGAAATGAAAACATATACTTAGTATATAGTTTAATAATCCTAAAGTATGTACGTAACACTCTCAAATGTGTCTATTCTCCCAAACATGTCCACTTTGCCAAAACATGTCCATTTCGCTCAAACTTGTCTTTAAAATCGCAAATCACCCAAACATGTCCAACTCACTTTCCCTTAGGCCAAGTAAATTTAATTAGTAGATTTTCATCCAAATTTTTGAAAAAAATGGGGTGGGTGGGAGGATTTTATTTTTTATTTTTTATTAGATATGAAACGCTCTTGTGACGTGTTCTTCATATATGCAAGTGTAATAATAAGGTTCTATCATGTATATACATGTATAACGAATCAAACATACAAAGAAATGCAAAAACCAAAATTTGAAACAGGATGTTATTAATGAAACGAAATTATCGACAGTTACCGGTAACGAAAATGAACAAAAATCCGGAAATCGTAAATTTTTCAAAATAAAAAAAATTGGGGCGGAACGATTTCAGAGGGGCGGGCGGGGATGAAAATCTATCAATTAATTTTAATTGGCCTTAACACATCCCATTATTTTCTTCTCTTAAATGTGTTCCGATTTCTCCTCGCCCAAACGACGCCATTATGTCCTTTGAGATGTCAGTATAGTTTACGGCATATTCAATCATGAGATATACTAGTGAAGACGTCTGTTTTCTGCTTGGGTCAAAAGAAAGAAAAAGATCAAAGATGCTATTGAAGACAATCAATGCAGAAGTATTTTGGGCACAATCCCCGGGAATTAAAAGAGTTAGTGAGTTTAATAGGAGAAAATCCAAATTGAGAATCTCGTAAAACTGCAGATATGGTCCTGAGAGGGGTCATGGAATTGATGATAAAAAATAAATATACAATTGCATTTTTTACAAGGAATCTATACATGTTTACATATATTTATTAATAGTACAGAAGCACAGGTATTTGTTTTGGTAAAACATGTGTGTTTGTATACATCAACACCTGTTTTACCTGTAATGTTTACAATGGTTTTCCATTGGATGAAATTTGTCGCATTGCAGGTATACGAATTATACAGGTATTCTATGTATAGTATGATTTGCCTCATGTTTCTCGTGCTTGCTGTTTCATATGAATCAAATGTAATTTATAATGTAATCATTTTAAGTTCTACCTTAGGCAGAGTAGCATACTTCTTACAACTGCCTTGCCTGTATTAAGACCCCACCCCCTCTCATCTAGACAGTCTATTGTTCTTATGTGGAAAGTAATGGTTATTTATAATGCTTTATATTAACTTTGTATTTTTTATTTTGTAGATTGATGTATATTTGTATGTTTTGATTGGATGGCTGTGATTGAGCCTGTATATGTATGACTGTTTATACAATAGTAATGACTGAGAATGAGCCGTAATGTGTTTGAGAAGTAAAATAAATGTGGATAGTGTCCACATGTGGACACAGATGATGCCCCCGCTTGCATATCATATAGTTATAAATGGACATAACTGAAGAACGGTAAAACTGACGCTACCCAAATTTGAACTTGATCTGAGTTTTGTGGTAATAAGCATTGTGTGTAAGTCTCATAACATTTGGTTGAGGCTAACTTAAGTAGAGAACAGAAACTAAAAATTCAGCAATTTTTCTATTTGTAAACACGCATAACTCTAGAATGGTTGTGTATAAGTTTTATAACATTTGGTTGAGACAAACTAAAGTTAGAGAACGGAAACGAAAAATTCAGCAATTTTTATGTTTATAAATGGACATAACTCAAGAATGGTAAAAGTGTCGCCACCAAATTTCGTACTTAATCTGTATTATGTAGTAATAAGCATTGTGTATAAGTTTCATAACATTTGGTAGAGGCAAACTAAAGTTAGAAAACGGAAACAAAAAATTTGTACTTGATCATAGTTTTGTGGTAATGAATATTGTGTATAGGTCTCATAATGTTTGGTTGGGGCAAACTTAAGTTACAGAATGGAAACTAAAAATTTTGCAATCTTTCGATTTATAAAGGGGCATAACTCAATAATGGTTAAAGTGACACTACCCAAATTCAACTTGATCTGTGTTTTATCAGTGGAAGTCAAAATTAAACATTGCATTGTATAAAGCATTGATTGTAGTTGATTCAACTATAATCATGGACAAAGGAAGATAACTCCAATTTTAATAAACTGTTATCACAGAGATATGTCTCGCCTTTTTGTAATTTTGATAATGCAAATGTTGAAATTAAAATAGCAATACTTTAACATGTAAGTTATGCAAATATTCAAAGTCGATGAACCATGACTGAAGGTACATGGCTAAACAATCTCCATGGAATGAGATGTGCCAATGCTAATACAACTGCATACCAAATACCATTGACTTATTATAAGTCGTTCCCTTTAAACAAACCTAAACACAAACATTAACTTGTAAACTATGTAAAAGTTTCAAAGTCAATGAACCATGATCAGGGGTGGGGCTATATAATCTCCATGGAAACGATACTTGCAAATGCCAATAAATTTGCATACCAAATATCATTGACTTAACATTAGCAAACTGATCTAATCACAAACTAATTCATGTAAACTAAGCAAAAGTTTCAAAGTCAATAGACCATGACTGAGGGGGCGGGGCCAAATATTCTCCATGGAAATGAGATGTGCTAATGCTTATACAACTGAACACCAATTAACATTGGCCTACCACTAATGGTTCCCCTTGAACTGACCTAATCACAAACTAATACATGTTAACTTAGCAAAATTTTCAAAGTCTATAGACCATGACTAAGGGGGCGGAGCCAAATAATCTCCATGGAAATGAGATATGCCAATGCTTATACAACTGCATACCAAATATCATTGACCTACCACTAGTTGTTCCCCATAAATTGACCTAATCACAAACTAATACATGTAAACTATGAAAAGTTTCAAAGTCAATAGATCTTGACTGAGGGGGCGGGGCCAAATAATCTCCATGGTAATGAGATGTGCCAATGCTAATACAACTACATACCAAATATCATTGACCTACCACTAGTGGTTCACTATGAACTAGACCTAATCACAAACTAATACATTGTTGACGCCGACGCCGGAAACAGCATACCTATGTCTCGCTTTTTGACTCCGTCAAGGCGAGACAAAAATTACTTGATATTTAGAAGAAAATAAAAATTTTGCAATTTTTCCATTTATAAAGGGGCATAACTCTAGAACGGTTGAAGTGACACTACCCAAATTCAACTTGATCTGTGTTTTATCAGTGGAAGTCAAAATTAAACATTGCATTGTATAAAGCATTAATTGTAGTTGATTCAACTATAATCATGGACAAAGGAAGATAACTCCAATTTTAAAAATTACTTGATATTTAGAAGAAAATAAAAATTTTGCAATTTTTCCATTTATAAAGGTGCATAACTCTACAACGGTTAAAGTGAAGCCACCAAAATTCAAACTTGATCTGTGTTTTGTGGTAATAAGCATTGTGTATAAGTTTCATAACATTTAGTTGAGGCAAGCTTAAGTTAGAGGACAAAAACTAAAAATTTTGCAATTTTTCCATTTATAAAGGGGCATAACTCTAGAACGATAAAAGTGACACCACCAAAATTAAAACTTGATCTGTGTTTTGTGGTAATAAGCATTGTGTATAAGTTTCATAACATTTGGTTGAGGCAAACTCAAGTTAGAGAACGGAAACCAATTTTGGGACGTACGGACAGACGTACGTACAGACAAGGGTAAAACTGAATGCCCCCACCGCTATGGCGGGGGCATAATGAACTGATTTTTGAGAGAAGTTTTATTTTACATTCGATTATAAAAATATGCTACTCTCACAAGGAGAGCTCATTTTTGAAACATGTATGGAGTTTTATTGTATAAATAGTTTTTCGTTTAAGTCTGGTGAACTAGAACATAAAGTCAAAATCTTAATATTGGCCACAGCATGTATATTCATCACGAACACAGAACTTAAAAATTTAAAAATATCGTTAATTAGGCATTAGTGTACTCTATGTCAATACCACTGAAAATGGTACATCATGTGAAATGAAACGTCTTAAATAAAAATGTATTTTCTTTGCTTTAATCATAAATATTACATTTTGATCATTTCTTTTTGTTTATTTCATGTTTCTAATATACTCCAGGGTGCTTAACTACCTTGATTATCCACAAAGGTCTAGAAAGGCCTGATACCAATAGAAATGGTCTCAAATAAAAGCTCTTCATAATATATACTAAGTATTTGATTGGCTTGTGATGCCCCACACCAAGCATTTGCCCATCTAAATCAAAGCATCGTCTGTGCTGTGATCCAGCCATTTATTTAGCTATGGGTATTCCGACATAGATAATTCCAGTCCTTAAAATGACTGGAAAATAATGAAGATGTTAATAAAATGTAATAAGGGGAATAACGCAATTCCTACGATTCAAAATATAAATAATGAGCCAATTTTTTACCATATTGTATATGACATTACTGACAAATGTGAACTAATGTATAAATACTTCACGTCAATATCAAAATACTGAGCTGCCCCAGTTTGAGAATAGAACAGAAAGATATTAAAAAAACAGAGAGTGAAATAGTCGATATATTTCTTACTCTTGATCCAAAAAAGCATCTGGGCCAGACAGAATCAGTCACAGGATGCTTAAAATATCCCCCCAAAAAATTGCAAAACCCCTTAAAATTATATTTAATAAATCCCTGTCCCAAGGTAAATACCCTTCTTCATGGAAAATAGCCATTGTAATTGCTATATTTAAGAAAGCAGATGCATCCCTACCATCTAATTATCGACCGATATCCCTAATTAGCTGTGGTGTAGGAAAAGTAATTGAGAACATATTTATAACCATCTACATAGGAACAAACTTATTTATATGTATCAGTCAGGATTTTTACCTAAACATTCAGCTGTACATCAACTTTTTG